CCAGGGCAGGACACGAGCTGCATCTATTCGAGCTGGCGCTTCCTGCCTCGCGAGCTCAGCACGCAGGTCACCAGGAGAATTCAGATGTCCATGTTCCGGTGCGCGCACGCCCTGATCTGAAATAATCTGCTTTTCCCAGCTGGGCAGCAGAACAGACTAGACACTGACTAATAAGGAGGAGAGCTCTACTCTCCGAGTCTCGCTCAGGTTTGATTTGGAATTGGGATTTTCAGTGGGTAGGAGTCTGGGTGAACACAAGGGCCAGATACAGGCCGCAACGTGCGGGGAGTGGGTCTGCAGGAAAAGCCGGGGCTTCTCCGCTCCTTCCCCACTGGGAACAGAAAGCGCTGGGGTCCAGGGGTGGGGAGGCAGGAGCAGGGGCCTCTGCTGACTAGACTCCCTAGAAAGAGGCCGGCAGGGATGCTAACAAGCGGGGTGATCTTGTGCAGTTTTGGGTGACTGATGGTAGTTATTTTACACAGCAAAAAGCACTGAGCCGAATCAGGCCATTCCCCCGGTGCTGACCCCGCCGTGGCCTGAGATCGCACCTGTCCACCCACCTGTTCGGTCAAAGGGATGCCTCTTCCTCCACCACAGGACCCTGTCTGTCCAGGCGGGGGTGCGGCATTTGTCACTAGTGTCGTAGGCGGCGGAGCCAACATCATACTTGTAGGTGGGCCCGAAGTTAATGGCGCCCTCGTGGAAATCTTTAAAAATCTACGGGGTGAAAAGAAGACCTGAGGCCACCTCAGTCCACCTAGATTCTGTACGTTACAGGCAAAAGCAAAACATAAAAAGGCACATGCTCCACTCTAGAAAGCCATGTGTCCAACACTGGACGTAGGTGTGCTTCTCCACGAGCATCTTTCTATTTAGCCAAAGCCTAAGACTGCTCAGAATCCAGCCATTCCTGGGCGCCAAGGGACCCAGGGTGAGCCCGGAAACCGGATGGTCTTGGACCATTAATTGGCTCTGGGGACTATGTGACCTTGAACAAGCTAGTCGACCTTGTCCTCGATTTTCTTATCCATGAATATGGTATAATGCCTAACTTGTAGGATGGTCTTGAGGATGACACGCACAAATTGGAGTGTACAGTACTTCAGACACAGTTCATGTATTAGTGTGTTCACCACACTGTCACCAAAATATTCTGAGTAGTCTCAAGTGTCACCTCGTCGTCCTGCCTGTCAGGAATACAGCTGCCCCTACCAGGCAGATACGTGACCTCGAGGCGCATGACTTGGGGGCACTATACAGCACGGGTCCGGATGCTGACCGGGTCCTCGTGGGCAGTTCTGACGAGGCAGGGGAGACGGAGCATGGAGGGCCCAGCTAGCCTGAAGGGGGGGCAGCACACCCACTTCCAGGTGTAGGCTCAGTGTCCTTTCACCAGCAATGGCCCCTCTGGCCACAGAAGCCACACGGACCCTGGTCTAAAGCCACCAAGCTCATCCAAGGAGCCACCGGAAGCATGTGTGTCTCCAGCTTCACAAGCCACACGTCTTCCAGCACATCAGAGACCTCGTGAAGTCCACTCAGAGCTTAACGTGCTGGATACTCCATGCACGCTTAGTAGAAGTCGTTCTATAGTGGAGCAGCCGCTGAAGTGCTTTACAGCATGACTTACTTTTCCACTTGACTTCTGTAGCTGTAGCTGATCAAATTCCAAAAGTTTCTTCCAGTCTTGGCGTTTAACAAAATAGAAGACCTCTTCATAAGTGAGATCGATGCGGTAGTTGAAATCGCCGCACCAAAACACGTAGTCATGAGAAAAAATGTTTCTGCCCTAGGTTGGAAAGAAAAGCATCATCATTCTGGCTCATCTGGCAGGAGGCGGGGTGTGTGGGGGGGGCAAGTTCACATGTCGACGACCAGCAGACACATCCTTGACCGTTCCTTAAGAGAAGGGCCCTGTACAAGAGCGTCTCACTGCGAACCCCGCAGAGGAACTTCCTCGCGGCTCACATTTTACAACTTGTTAAGATGTCTTGAAGGAAGCCCCAGCTCTCACTGGGGAGCATGACTGCCCATATCTCCCCTGTCCAGTTGACCACGCTCCTGCTTTGTTTCGAATCCTAAAAATTGCTCGCACATTCCATGCTGGGCAAGTGAGGTTTAGGAAAACAGGTCTAAACGCTCAGAACATGCAACTTGTGGGACTTTACGGCTTTCACTTTTGTCTAGGGACCCTGCATCATCTGGGTCTCCTCCCCTCTCCCCCCACCGCCTTGCCTGGTCACGCTGAGGGCACGCTGTGTCCAGGCCCCCCGCCGCAGTCTGCCAGGGCTCGGGGATCCTCGCACATCCTGCCCCCGGGCTCACGACGGGGCGGGGGGCAGCTTCCAGCTGGCAGCTTTGCAGGGCGGCTGCCCCGGGGCACCTGGACCCCAGAGCCTGGGGAGCACGCTCGCCCGGCTTTCAGATCATAAAGAAGCTCAGAAGAACTTTGCTGGCGGTCACCCCCGAGTGCAGGGGCGCCAGGCTGGACACAGCTCGCCTGGCTCTGGACCCTGCTGCTGGTCTGCTCCTGGAGCTCTCCCCGGCCCTGGGCCCACATCCCGGCTAGAAGAGTGAACTGGCCACACGAAACAAGAGGCGCCAGCCTCACGTGGTCACTGGGCACCTCGGGTGTGGTGGCCGCCTGGGCAGCGCCACGCAGAGCAGCTGTGGCCCTCAGCACTCCTGTGTGGAAGAGCTCTGCTACAGACCCAAACGCCGTTATTATTTTCACTGTACCCCAAGTTTACTATTCCAAAAGAGCATGTTTTAAGTGCGGGGCGGGGACTTTCCAAGCTGCATAGACGCTGGACAGGAAGAGCTCCCTGTCTTCCCACAGCCTGGGAAGCGTCACAGCGCAAAGTTCCCAACTCGACTGCATGTTTTTTCTTTAATCTAAGAAATACAGACGAGGATTATGGCATGAACTAAAACTAAGACGCTTCTACCCTACGAGCACCCCAAGAAATAGGGTTTTCCTTATAGGGGAGCCAGCCTCCCGGAAGGGCGGCTACCGGCACTGTATACGTGCAAGGACAGCAGGCGGGCAGCCCCAAGGCTGAGGTGTGAGGTGAGCCCCCACCTTGCACAGGAGAACCCGGCTCTGAATTTAGAAAGAAAACCATCAGCGCTGACCACAAGGGGGCAGCACGAGGCGCGCTGCTGGCTTGGGGGGGGCCTCAGATCCCCGCCCGGAAAGTGGGGATTCGTATCCCAGCCACAG